GGGGGGGGGGGGGGGGGGGGGGGGGGGGGGGGGGATTCCTATGGGCAAGGAGGGGCGGGGGGTGTTGTACTGCGGTTGTTTGGGTGACTCACAGCGAGGAGCGGTGGTGGTGGTTCCTAGGATCAGAGGATCAGAGGATCAGAGGATCAGAGGGGGGCAGCACTTGTTTACCTGTTGCCGGTATGTCGGCGCGTCGTCGCGCTACAGCAAGCGGTATGTACCACGCCATGATATTGTGGTCGCTGCACAGGGCACGCCACGGCAATACGGGGTGTCGATAAACCGGGCCCACCACTGCCGTCCCAGGCGGGTGCTGTCGGAGAGGACGACCGCCTTCAACGAGCAGCAAAAGCGCAGTACACGACTCGTTTTTTGGTCAGCCGGTTTTCCTTTTTTATCGTGCGAGAAAGCAAAACAAAGAACCCAGCTGGCCCCTAGACATTACTGTTCGATATGTTATTTTTTGCTCCCGCCCCTTGCTTTCCGCGCAGACATGCAGCTGCAGTCTGCCTACCAAGCGGTGATGGGCTCGGAGCCCCCCTACACCAACTACACGGGAAACTTCACGGGGGTCTTGGACTACGTCTGGTTCTCGTCGCCGTATATCCGACCCCTTGCGGTTGCGCCGGTGCGCGGTCTGTTTTTGTCCTTTTTGGTGTTGGTTGATGGTGGTGGTAGGTTGCGTTGGAGTTTACGAGAGCACCATCGTAGCCCTGGTACGCACCCTCGCCCTCACCCAGTCTTATGGTAGACACTTTACATAGTATAGCCCGGGGCCGTACCATGTCACGTCTCTTCCCCCAGGCCCTAAACCTCGTCCAGAAGTAAAGCCTTTGAGCCTCATGATGGCCTTGACCGTGAACAAACACTTGAAACCCTGGGCGTGCCGAGCCATTTCCCCGGAGTCCTCTCGTCCTACATGTGCAGATGGTTGAAACCCCAAGCGCAACCATGTCGATTTTCTTCTTTCAGGTTCCGACGGCGGAGGACATCATGAAGTGCGGCATCGCTTTGCCGAACGTGCAGTCCTCCTCGGACCACATTATGCTCCTGTGCGACGTCCAGCTCGGGGGAGGCACGGGTCACTCGGGCCAGGCGCAGCCGCCTGCGTCGCCTATCTTTCAGGGGCAGCAGAAGGTGGGGGTTGCTGTACATAGCTGCTGCATTTTTTGCGGCGGGGGCGGTGGCGGTGGGTATGGGGCTGGCCTTGTCGTAGTATGTGCGCTGCTGCCTCTGTTGCTACGGTCGTGGCGGTAACGGGGGGTTTCGGTGGTTTGAGTTGGTGTTGGCGCTGGTTGCTGGCCGTTGATGTTGTGTGTAGTTTTTGCGTGTTGCTTGTGGTGCTGTTGTCGCTGCTTTGCTGCTTTGGTGGTGATGGTGGCGGTGGCGAAGACGGGGTTTTGCTTTTTCTCGGCTTTCCTGTGGGTCATCAATTCCCTGGGTGGTGATTATGTCATATATTGCCGCTACGGTCAGCAATTGCAGCGCCGTTATTCAGGCTAGGTGTAGAGACGGATGACGTTACATGTCATCATATGTGTCGTTACAAACAGCGCAGTTTACAAACACCACGTGACTGACATCGCCCCCCCCCCCCCCCGCCACTGTCCCTCTGTCCGCGTCGCCCCTTGCTTTTTTTCGACTTGTCTCCCGTTTGCTGCCAACGATTCCCGACTTCAGTACTACCCAAAATGACGAGATAGCATCGGAGTGGTATTGATCCAGGCGATTTGCGTAGAGGAGGGGAAGGGGCGGGGAAGGGGCAGAACTGACTTTCTGTCCCCAGCCAGCCGTAAATGTTGTGGCGTTTTCCCGAAAGTTGATGTGGAAGGGCGATGGCCGAAGGGGGTGGAGGGGGGAATAGGGGAACTACGGTGTGTTTGAAAACTAATTGTGATTATGACGCTCAAGACGTAACTTGTTTTTGAGTGGACTGAGAGCTTGGCGCATTGTTTAGGCGGGCGGGCTCGGAGTTCGCTGGAAGGAGGCAAGGGAAGGAAGCTTGGGGGACGGTCACCGCGTCGGGTAGGAGTAGCATCGTGCGGGAAGGTTACGGTTGGCAGCATACATGAGGATCGTGGAATGGGTGCTGTGGGTGACACTCCTTTCCCGTTGTCCACACAAGGGCAGGAGGGGGAAGAGTCGATAGTGTTGAAGCCGGGAGGGAGGACAGAAGAACCCGAGGGCGGGGAAGCAAGGGGGTGGGGGGGTGGGGGGGGATGTTCTTTAACCCCTGTGACGTTTCGGGCGGCGAGTGGCATGCTCCGAGCTCTTACCCCAACCTCGTCTTCTCTCGACTCTCTCCTCGTGTGGGTGCCGATCTCTGCACGTGTTAACCCCTCCCCCCCCCAAATGTGCAAGAGCGGGAGGGGGACTGGATTCGGCTTCCGTGGTTTATTTTTTTTTTGTGGTGTTTTTTTCTCCTACTGAGGGAGCTCCGCCGTCTAATTCCCGTTGACGTGACGTGCTGAGCAGAAGTTGCGGCCTGGTCGCTGAGCAACGTGGTGTACCATCGGTCGCTTGTTGGCTGGCACGCCTTCCTACCTGCTGGGAGGAATTGGAGGAGGTGGAGGAGGGAGCTTGGTGGTTTTGTTTTCGTCTTGCCCGCAGCATGGCCTATGGATGTGTTGATCTGTCGTTTGGCTTGGTTCGTTAGCATAGGCTAGATTTATCGCTCTTTGTCTTTGATGTTTCGCGTACCCTTTTAAGACATCCAAAAATAAACGTGGAAGGGTCGTTACCAGCGTAGAGCGAGTGTTGATAAACTGCGTGCGCCCGAGACCATAAATTCGGCAAATTTTAGTGTTTGGTTTCTTCGCGGCTGCGGGAGCGGAGTTTTGGGGTGTGGGTCATTTCGGGGGTAAGGTTGAGGGTTACATCAAGGGATCGTTTTTTGTGATGATAACTTCGTGGAATCAAGATCATGGGTGGTGACGCGGGCTGCCTATCTCACCCCATGTCTAGTAGTTAATGTGTGAAGGTAATATAGAGTCGTCGTTTTTTGCGGGTTCTGATCTCCCGTCTTTTGACCGAAGCGGAGTGTGTGGCGATACGCGAGAGGAGACAAGTTTTTTTCTCATGCTGTTCATTTGTCTTCCCTGTTTCGTAGAAGTTGCGACGAAAGAGGCGATTTGTGTTCCTGCCCGACCGCGCAAGCTCTAGCTGACAGTGTGTGTGGGGGGGTACGCTGGCAACCTTGTTGTCAATCAGTTTTTTCGTTGCTGGTGTTTTTCTTTATAGATATCTTGCTCTCGGTCAGTGGCCGCCGCTTCGGGGGTACGGGAGGATGCTGTTGTTACTGCGCCACACCGGCAGGTTCAGCCGCATCGCCAGCAGCAGCGGAGGCAGCACAGTAGTCGCACATATGTATTTGTGTGTTATGTGTGTGTGGTGAGTGGTGAGCGAAGGCTACAGGCACGTACGATAGGCTCGGTCTGTTCTGAAACAATGACAATCCTTCCACGCACGCGAGCAGCGAAGTGATCCGCGTTCACGCACGCGCACGTGCAGTGCTAGAGGTGTGGCACGCGAGTGAGTGTGCCCTTGAGCCAGCGCTTTCGTGTCCACGTCCGTGTTGGAGGGGTTGGGTGAGGGCGTTGGGCTGCTCTAGGCTGTCGTCTGCTCCATGAATACTCCGCTGCCAGTTTTCATTCCAGGAAAAATAACATGTCCGACAATATCACTTTCATTCGGTCGAAAGACGGGACGAGAGAGGGCGCACGAAGTTCCGCGACATAGCGCGTTACGGTGTACATGGTTGCTACCGCGCATCTAGCGGACACAACACGTGGGGTGAATGACACTTGAAACAGCAATGATTCTGCTCGGCGTCGTGATGAACGCATGATCGACCGCCTTGGCGGTAATGCGATGTTGGCCAGCATTGGCAACCTTTGTTTGACAACCCGCAGAGAGCAGTATTCCCGATCATGCGTTCATCACGACGCCGAGCAGAATCATTGCTGTTTCAAGTGTCATTCACCCCACGTGTTGTGTCCGCTAGATGCGCGGTAGCAACCATGTACACCGTAACAATTGGGTGTCATTCTGTGAAAAACCTCGCTACATGGAAATCATGGTGTCCATGCCACGAATACAATATACCCACGTGTGAAGGGTACCATGGTACGGATTTTCGTCTTGATTTTTTTGGCCAACTAATGGTACTACTTTCTCGCTAATGGTCGGTGGTGGCGGCACGCGCGGTGTCACCGGTGGTGAACGAATGCGGCGATGTTTGCGCGCTGGGAATCAATCTCCTTCACATTGCCTGTACAGCCCGGGGGCGCTGGTGAGCCCGGTACACGCGCAATCGTTTCAAAATACCTTCCCTACCTGCCGTGAGAGCTTCCCTCTGGACCGTGATCTGTGCCACTATGCTTGCTCCTATTCTTCCATCGGAATCACTCGTTTCGTGTGAAGTGTCTAGACTACGAAACATAGTACGGTAAAGAAGAAGGGCAACAAGCGACGGCGGCCATGCTCTGGGACCCCAGGTGTTGCTGGCCGTTTCCATTTGTTCCCGACCTCCGTTGTCACGCCTTGCGGTACATGTTGCCAGAAAGAAGGTCACACAAGACTGCCATTTTCGTCCCACCTTTCCTTTCCTGCGCGGCGCTTGCTGCATGTCTCTGCCGGGTGCTACCAACTTGAACGCGAGCATGCGGTCGTCCGACATACATCCGCTCGCCCCTCTGCCCGATCTACACCAAACATTGAGAGTCTGATAAAATACTTGAGCTTTTCATGTGCTCCCGTTCGCTCCCCCTCTTGGTCCGGCATCAGCTGCGCAGTTCAAGAACTAAGCATGACGCCTTCATCTATTCGCTCCGCCGCACCCCTCAAGCTCTCAGCGCGCCCCTTGCACCTCTACTGCCCCGCCGCCGACGGCTCCGCCGGCGGCCCCCGCCCCGGCCTCCGTTTGCCGCGGTCTCTTCACCGTGGAGGAGCCACCGCCACCGCCAGCACCTCCGCCTCCACCGTTGTTTGACGCAGAAGCAGCAGCAGCAGCCGCCGCTGCGGCTGCCGCTGACTCGGCGCTCCTCCTTTTAGACGCTTTTTTTCGCCAGGCGGCAGAGGCACTCCCACTAGAAGATGCGGATTTTGCCTGCCGGTAGGCACGAATTGACGGTGGGGGGCATCAACAAACTTTGCGTCATCGTTCGATCCTAAGAATAAAACAACACAACAATTGCCGTTGCTCCTCATCAAGGCTACGACAGAACGCTTTCGAGCTCCAACTAAGCAGCACGCTCTGACCCCTTCAGGGGCCAGGGTCACCGAAACTTTCTTGGTGCTTGAGGACTTCGAACAGCAAACGCGGATCCCCCCGTCGTTGTTGCCATTTAAAACCTCGACCCGGAACCAATCACAAGCACACCGCTGCTCATCCTTGTGCCGATGTCGCGCGGCGGCGGCTCGTGGGCCACCCGGACCCCCAACGACTTGTACCAGTAACACTCTGTGAACAAGTAACACTCTGTGAACAAGTAACACTCTGTGAACAAGTAACACTCTGTGAACAAGTAACACTCTGTGAACAAGTACATCTACCTTTGCACAACAGTGTTACTGCCACTTCGACGATATTCGAGGAAAAGCCCGGGCAACACGCACATTGGAACACTAGGCAAAGCTTCGCCCTCCCCCCTCCCCTCCCCCCCCCCCTCTTGCCCCCTCCACAC